GCATCTTGCAATCCTTTATACAGCAGTGTTCAGACTGGGGGATTGGATGGGACAAGACTGGGAGTCAATCAGGTATTCTGCGTGCATTAGCTGACCGGATGAGAGAGCATAGTGAACAGTGGGGTGAACATTTCAACTGGCTTTCTGCTCCTTCACTGTTTAATCAACAGGCAGGTGGTGGAGAAGGGAAACCACTGTATTCTTTAATTGTGAGTGGTGCTATCCTCCTGACTGTGCTGTGTGATAGGGCTGTGCAAGTCTCAGGACTGGACATACTGCAATACAATTCTTTCGGTAGGTAAAACAGCTCACTTATATGTATATTTAGCGGTTTGCCTGGAGTTTAGCTTTAATAAACAGAAGAAAGGAAAATAGCACATAAGCTCCCTATAAAACCTAAGCATTAGCTCAGCACGAGCATTACGTGGCATGTTCTGATTCTATGTTCACATAGAATCAGAACATGTGAATACATTTCAGCTATTTACTAATAAAAAAATTGATTTGATAGTTTGACATTTTGTCCTTGTTTGTATACTGTGTGCTTGGTAATGTGCTGGTTTAAAATGCAACTGAAATTACTTAATCATGCGTAAATCAACTGGAAATGATTAACGTAGAAAAGAATCATGATATAAATATTAGAATAAAAAGATTTGAATATGTTCAGGATGCTGTTGGGAAAGACCTCAGCTACCGGTTATGTGCTTATGTTTAGCATCTTATTTACACCAGAACTACAACACAGAAAACTGCAATTCTAACAACAGATGTTTAAATTAACCAACACTGATTAGTAGGTTATTAAAAAGGGAACCTGTCAAGATAGAAATATGGAAGCTGCCATTTTTGCCTCCAGGGCGGTTATCTGAATTCTGACTTCACTACTGGGCCAGCTACTGCCTAGGAGAAATATGATCAGGTGCCAGGACACATGATATGCATAGGACTAAAGAAGTGAGGATAACAATGACAGTTTGTACTGTGCTCTCATATTTCCATCCTGCCATTCCATCCAGTACTATTTAGGAATCAGAAATGCAGGAAAAAATGTTTTGTCAAGTTGCTCACTGAATGCTTTATGTGGGTTTTTTTTTCCATTTTAAAGGATTTTAAGAAACAGCCAACAGTCAACCAAGAAAAAAAGGTTTAGCAGGACAGCACTAAGTTCTAGAAATGACTACACACCGCTGCTTATACTATCTTCGAGGAGGAAAAACAAGAACAAAAAAAAAACTGCTTGAGATCTCTCCACACAGCAACACTGGTCTTCACCCCCACTCACTACAGTGTTAGTAAAACAGACTTTACAGGTCATCCATTCCAATAAAACAGCATACCTATGAGTGCTATTTTATTAGGATATGTAGGTAAAAGAATGAGGATTTTTTGGTATCGCGTACTGATATTTTTTTCCCAGTACTCGCCGGGAGATCTCCCTTTGACCGGAAGTTCCGGTATCGGAGCATTTTGGGCGAGTATGAGTACTCGCCCCAATACTTGGTATTTGCACCGATACTAGTATCGGTGCACCCCTAGTTTGTATATATTTATGTGGAGTAATATAAAGCTTTAAAGAGAAATAGAGAAATGCACACTTCATTTTTCTAGATAGTAGTATAGCGGTTTTCTTATATTTGAAAGTCCATTTTAAGAAAACTGCTTAAAAGGCAAGGACACTGGGCTGTGCAGCAAATAGTAGAAGGGCAGCAAATATAGGGCTTCCATAGGAAGTAAAGCAAACAATTGACAGAAAATGAATACAGTACAATCATTTGAAATGAAAAATATTCATGGGTTGAGAAATACTGGTTCCAATGACAAGTGAAAGTGGTGCCCCATTAAGTGTTCACTGTAAAAAGGGACCCAACATGACCCAGCTCAAAGCTCTTAAAAGCTGTCTCTTGTCTGGAACCCTTTTACACAAACCCAATGAACATTCCCAAAGTACCCAATACCTTCTTCTTGCCTATGGCAGTGCTTTTTGATATTCACTAAACCGCCAAATAAAAAGTGTACATTTTCAGCATAGTTTTCACAAGAAAATATAGATTTGCAGTTAAAGTTAGTGTTGAAATATGGCAGAACAAACAAAAAACAGCCAATTGTTTATAACCCATCATTAAAAGTGGTATGAGGTACTGTGATAGAGAATGTGCAGAAAAGGGAAGACAAGAAGCTGAGGGGAGCACTTATGCTATGAGAGACCCGTTGGGATCCCACGTGTGGAAATGACTGTACACAGTGGCACTTTTTTCTTTTCCACGAAGAGCGAAGGATATGGTTAAAACACCAGCCAACAACTCCAGTATATTAAATGGCTGCCACGCTGTAAGTAAATTTGCATATGTTTTAGATCAATCGCTGTCCTATTACAGCTCTCCACTCATATTTGATATTATGTGCTGACTGGAAATCAAGCAAACTTAAAAGCTTAAAAATATATATTAAAAAAAGGTAAAGCAGCATATGACATGCTCTTGAAAGAAGTCAAGGAAATTAAAAAATAAAATATTAGGTCAAGAAGGAAAACGTCAATGGGCATTTTTGTACCTAAGAACCTGGAACTAGAACGCAGGTTTATTCCAGTAATGACCATAATTACGTAAAACATGTATGTTGGCTCCAATTCTTTCTAATCCTGACAAGCATTTTCATCTTGGTTGGAAACCTACACAATTCACATACCAGCTTGGCAAGATAACGTGCCGGGGAAATTTTATACACTTTATCTGCATGGGAATTGGCAAGAGCAGTATGTATGAGAAAATCCAAAGCCTTCGAATAGGAAAGGGGGCATATTGTTATTACTTCACTAAGTGACTGACAGCCCTGTTTAATGACTGGGACCCAAAATGAACTTGTCTGTGGTATGTAACAAGGGGCTCTCGCAAAGAGATCTTAGAGCTGTCCTAGGACTGTACCACAGTTGGATCAAAAAGAGAGCGCCAGGCATTTTTCCACAACAACCTCCCTTCAAAAAAAAAAAACCCTAAGTTTACACTAAGTTTTTTTTTCCAGCAACATATCTAAAGCCAGAATGCTTCAGGTTAAAAAAAAAAGGCTGACATTGTAAAATATCCAGAAAAGAAGAGCTATCAAAACCTTGACAAATGTGAAATATAACAAACAGTAACAAAATGCTGAGAACTCTATTCAGTATACTGCGATGGAGATGAAGGGGTATGTTTTGCTATCTATCCTGCTATGCTATACCATTATATGCTTGCCTGGGACAATTGTGTCCAGATATCTTCATCTTTGGTGATGGTGTTTATGTGAATTATATTTATTACATATAACTTACTGTTTTGCTGAATATTTAGCTTCAATTAAAAAAATCCTTTTTGCTACAAGGGTCTCTGAGTAAATGTTTAGCATAATTTGAATTACAATCCATGGGTCAACAGCAGTTGAACTACAAGGTCTAGCAGTCCTTGGTGGCATTGTAAGACCTGAAGATTTACTGCAGCTGACAGGCCAATTTCCCTTGATAGGTTAAATATTATATATTTAAATATTCTACTGCTGCAATTAAATTCTCCATGGAATAAATGCTTTAAGACCAACACCAATCTTCATTGTTGATATTTTAAAGCAAGGCATAAAAAATCCACAATTACCTGCCTTGTTCTCTTATGCTGGTATAGGCTCTTGAAGGACCCCCTGTGGTCAGTGGGAAGTGCTGCATGTGCAAAATGAAGACACACAAAATGCTGGATCTGTGTTGGTACACAGCAGCCTACACTGTCCACCAAAAAATCCTTCCAGAACCTATAGGTGACATAAACAGGACAAGACATACTATGGGATCTATTTATACACTTTATTATCTGTGATGTATGCCAAAACAAATGTTCTATAGTTGTTTTTTTTTCTCCCTTGTAACACCAAATGATGACCACTAGATGGTGCTAAGGAGCATAAACAATAAAAACTTATTTCCTACGCTCCGTTAGCTCCATCTAGTGGCCATGATGCAATATTTCAGGACAACATTCGAAAACTCATTCCCCTTGTCAAGAAAAAAACCACTAAAGAACATTTCTTTTGGAATATATATTCGCACTGAGTGAACAGTCACTGATATTAGCAGAACAAACAGCCTACCGAATAGTTTATAAATAGACCCCTATGGGTTTATGATCACACCTTAAAGCAACAAATGTGTGAGAATATGGAGGGAGCACTTTTACATAATTTTGTATAGTATTTTGATACACCCTTTAAGAATATGTGTATACAGATAGGTATCCTGTTACTCAAAACAAATGTAAGGGATCCTGCCTTCTCATAAATGTTAATGTAGCGTACTTGCCAGCTTACGGTATGGTTTGCTAATAAAGTAACTTTATTCTCCGTTACTGTAACTCTAACCAAGCTTATAACTGAGTGTGCAGCTGTATGGCTGCGCCAACCTACAACCTCCCATAATGCTGTTTTTGTACATGGTCAATACCAACGGTAGCAATGGCACCACTAGGGACACTGAAGCACCTGGTTCATGAGGCAGCCTTCGAGTTCTGGAAAATTATATTGACTCCCAAAAAGTCTATGGTGCAAATGTCAACTTCTCGGCTTGTCAGCCATTTTCACAGTCAGCTTACATGAATAGTTAAACCAGTCCATTGAAAAAAAAAAAAATGCGATTGAGCACAGTGCAGTTTAACAGAAATACATACCGTCACTGTCTCTTTGCTCCAACTTTACAAAACATTATGAATACGTGTATGTGACACATACAAACTGTACAAAATTACCATCAGTGTACCAAATTACTCTACTTTGGTTTTTTCTTTTTCTTTTTTGTGTGTATTTTTTGGTGTTTTTTAATCTCCCTCTAGTAATTAATTCAACACAAGATATATTACAAATTAAAGGCTAAATGTAAAAAAATACTCTGTTTTAGGATAAAAGCAAGAGCTATGCTACAAAACAGTTCATCTAAAAAGATGGGCAACTGGAAAAATACAGCTGTGAAATTAAAAAATAAAATAAAATTATACATCATCAGCAGAGAGAGATGGGATGCTGATCTTGGCTCTGGTGAAATAAGCAATCTTCTCCCTGCAAGAAAGAAAAGCAACATGAGTCTGAGGTTCTAATCTGTTTTTAGTACATACAGAGAAACGGTCAGATCGATTCGCGTCTGCAAATAAGTAATTATCTGTAAATTCAAACAGCTAACCCAAAGACAAAGGACACTGAGCAGTGTGGCGCCAGCTTCCCTTCAGGATTCTTAGAAGATTGCTAATAACAGTAGAGGACAGCCTGCTATAATGTACTTAGTGCAACTTGGCTCACAGAGAAAACTAGATAATGAGATATTACTCCTTCTAAGAAAAATACATGTTATGGAGAGCTATTCTTTCAGTGTCATACAAAGGCACAGAGTTGTACTCCCGTCTTCATCTGGAACACTAGGGGCGCTGTCCCCCCCGAAGCCGCTTTGTTCTACAAACAAAGGCAAAGCCACTTACAGAACTGCAATCCTCAGTTACATTTAAGCAAGGTCACCATTTATTTAGACTACAACCGACCCAAAAACCTCAATACCGAACACAACACAGTAATAGAAATACAACACATGTGATTTGTCTAAAACTGGGATTCTATGGAGTGTTTGGTGTATTTTATTTCTAGATTATCAGTTATTTTCGTCTGGTTACAGGCAAATTGCAGTATCTTATATTTGTGGACAGGAACTCTGCCGTGTCTAGCAGATTTTGCCTTTTAATAACAAATGTATCTCAAAAGCTAATGAAATGAACCTTTGAGCAGGACAAATACAATTTACTAGGGCTGGTAATGATTAACATTTTTGTGTTCGATTAATCAAATTTTTTTTTAAATCGATTGATTCATTTCGATTAATTATAATGCACATACAGATCCAACTACATTGGCCTATACACATAAAGCACAGCAATGAAGTAATAAAATTAACTAGGATCACACTAATCCAGCACGTTATTAATCACGTGGGGCAACTCAGAATAATAACGTGCTGGATTAGTGTGATCCTAGTTCATTGTATGACTTCATTGCTGTGCTGTATGTGTATAGGCCAATGCCTTGGCTGGCGCTCGTGCAGAGAGTTTAAAAAAAAAATTAAATCGATGAAAAAAATTTTTATCGATCAAAAAGATTAACGATTAATCGAGAAACTAATTATTAATTTGCACAGCCCTACAATTTACATACAATAAAGCTGTGTAACCAATGTAGTTTTTTTTTTTTCTGTCATCAAGCTCTGGTGGAGTAAAAACCCCCAAAACAAAGAGGAAAAAAAAAACACATTTGGCAGCATTTTTTCCCCTCCTCTAGCAAAGCACCATTTGCTTAAGTGTATTATGACACAAGCTGACCTGTCAGTTACTGAAGCAGTGCATTCTGGGTCTTTGTCAGGTTTGAACATTTCTTATACGGCATGTGCAGTGAATATGAGGAAAAATACAGTAGAATTATTACACAGGACCAGAATCCTAAAGTAAAATGATTGTGGATCCCACAAAGGATTAAGGGAAGTATATTTAAAGTGACACTAAACTTAGGAGTTAAATCTTAAAAATGCATCAAGGTACCTTAACTATTAACAAAAATTGATTTTATTTGTGTAGAACTCGGGTGTAGATCCTCATAACATCCCTAAATTGGTGCTGACACTGTCCTTCCTTCTGGAGGGTGGCTTCTTTTGTTCCCCATGGTCCCTGTGTGTGTTGTAAAGTAGCCACCACTCTAAGCTCGCTCCCATGATGGACACACAACTAGGCAATTGAGCTGTTTTTGCCCGCGGGATTTTTTTTTGCTGCGATAACCACGCGGTTTTCAATGCATAGAGATGTCTATGGGACCATAACCGCCTCAAAATAGCTCCTGCACCTTTTTGAGCGACAGGCGATTTCGCCCACGTGACAAAATGCAAAGGTGATTTCTAGTTGATATAGTGACAGATTTATTTTCCTAGTTCATGTCTCATTCATAAATCCCTTCATAAGGAGTATTGTCTCTAAATTGTCTCAGGCTTGCGGGGAACCTCCTGGATGACAGTGGAATAGTCCTGAAGTGCTCAGCTGACTTGAGGACGTGATGGTGAAGTATCTTTGCAATACTTTAAGTGCTCAGGAGAACTTCTAGGATATGTGACACTTTGGTGAATTTTTGATGTCACAAATGCTGGATACAATTACTGCGCAGTTGTGAAATTATGCAAAATGTTACAAAGCATGTGCAGTGAGTCAGAAAACCGGAATGTGTTACAAGGACACTTTGAAAAAGATGCATAACAGAGATAACATTTTGTGGTTAGTTAGAATGACATTTTGGTCTTCGCCACAAAATTTTTTGTTGCACACATGTTCATAAATTCCCTGATTGTATTGTTGAATGATACTTCTGAACAGGGTTTGCAAACACTGTTTATAAACGCTTCTCTTCACAGCAGATGTAATACTCACCAAGCAAAATTACAGCCAGGGATTGCAAGCAAGAGCTTCAGAAGGAATGACAGCACAGGGAGCGGATTGAAGAACGTCACACGACCCCCCCCACCCCTCCAGCAATAATTGCAGCAGTTTAGGTATTGATTTATTGAAGAATGCCGCCCCTCATATGCAAACGCTTTCGGGGCCACACAGGGACCCCTTCATCAGGCTCAGAGATGACAGCAAGGATTGTTTCTTTTGTTAGCACAGGGAGAGGGACAGGGACTACTATGTATGTTGATTACGTTTTTTTGGGGTGTACATGGCATGCCCAAGGTACACAAGCTGTTAAATATTGTAACTTCCTACGATACCTCTGTTTATGGTTATTTATAAACCAACTTGTGCTTTTGGTTTATTAGTCCATTACTTTTTTCAGAGTAAAATAAGAACTCGGTAGGATAACAGAATTGTCTTTTAAAGAAAATCTGTACTTGTAACCCTGAAGCTTTACAACAGGCATTCGATGGGCTTCTCATGCCCTCTGAAAAGCCTGATCTGGGTATCGGGTACATTTGCACTACCAGCTACTTACACTAGAGAGCTCAATGCCCGAATTACTTCTCCCCAGGTCTGTCACAGGATAATGCAAATTTTCAAAAACACTGTATTAGGGCTGCAACAACTAATCGACATAATCGATTATAATCGATTATTGAAAAAGTTGTCAACTTTTTCAATAATCGATTAATCGGCTTCCGATCAGTTGGCCCTGTTCACGGCTCCACACGCTGTGCGCCGCACCTCCTCCCCACCTCCTCCTCGCCGCTGCCAGACCCGCTCGCATCCACGCTCCACACGCCGCACCTCCTCCCCGCCTCACATTTCCTGCCCATCCACGATCGGCAAGGCACGCGGGGAGATGTAGTAAGGAGGAGCAGGGGTGGGGGGATGACAGCAGCTGATAGACAGGTCCAATCTCAGAAGCAAGTTGCTGGAAGACTGCTCAGGTAAGCCTGCACTTTCCCACACATGGTGCTCTATAATGTATTGCTGGGATTTGTATTTCTCTATAGCTGATGGTACATTGTGCTGTATATTATACATAGGAATACAAATCCCAGCAATGCATTATACACTGTATGTATAATGTACTATTGCTGGGATTTGTTGTACTCCTCTATAGCTGGTGATATTCTGCATTGCGCTGTATAGAGGACTACAAGTCCACGCAATAATACATTATACAGCGCAATGCAGAATACCACCAGCTGTAGAAGAGTACAACAAATCCCAGCAATAATACATTATAAAGTGGTACAATGCTAAATACCACCAGCTATAGAGGACTGCAAAACCCAGCAATAGTACATTATACAGCGCAATGCAGAATGCGCTTTTGCTGGGTTTTGTAGTCCTCTATAGCCGTTGCCATTCTGCATGCATTGCTGTATAATTTTACACTTTCCATTTCACTATATTGCACACCACACTATCTTTTTTTTTCTTTTTTACTTCCACCGGTCCAAGCTTGCTCCTGTGGTGGATTACAACCTCAATACAAACTAGTAGTCCCATCACTGGAGCCATTTTTTAAACTTTATTTTATAGTTTATCCGATTAACCGATTAATCGAACTTAATAATCGGCTAACTAATCGATTTTTTAAAATAATCGTTAGCTGCAGCTCTACACTGTATTCACATAGGATTGTCAGGGTCTAGACTCCCAGACAGGCAGTACTATGACAATAGGAGCAAGGTGCCTACTGCAGAGTTTTAGGGTCACTTTGTTTTAGGTGCAGTCAGAACAGGTTGGCTTGTTAATTGTTCTTTTTGATAGAGAGCTGAAGTATACAGAGCGGTTATATGAATAGAAAATTATAATGAAGAATGCTTTGTAGTGAGATGTACAGCAGGCATTAACATCTGATTGCAAATAATAGTATTAGAAAAAAATGCACTTTAACAAGTGATGATATGTTGGATGCTTAGAGACAATGTATGACAATAGGAATGGAAAAATGAATCAAGTGGAAGTGGTCCACCCCGAGTTTTTTGTTTCCAATTTTGCTCGCAGGCAATACTGTCCAGGCTGTCATATGAGCTCTGTTGGGAACATAAGAAGCTTTCTATTTATAGAAAATAGAAGGCCGCTGCGGCATCCCACAACACAATGTGGACACTTTGTCTGCTGTGAGATGGGTAGAAATGACAGAGAAAAAAGTCAAGCTATTCCAGCTTAATGTTGGGGGTCCTGGCTGCACCATGAATGATTTGCCAAATATAAATGTAAATAAAGGCACCTTGTGATGTCTACTTATTTTGTTAGATGGAAAACAATACACCGATTTGCCACAATTAGGTAATACAACCACAAACAAAGAGAACACTCCTAATCGCATAGCAATTATCAAAAAGATTATTAATGGAATTACAAAAAGCTGGTGCATACAAAAATACAAACAATACACCCTAAAAACAAAACACAAATCATAATGTAATACCCCCAATGATGCAAAAGGAGGAGTAGTCAGTCAAAAAAAAAGGTAAACCAATAAGCCCATGGTCTAGGTGCATCATGGCTAAGCCACTTCTTCAGGAGTTGCATACACTTCTACCCTAGCCAATGCATGCAAATTTTGAATTGAGCTCGGCTCTAATATTCTTATATGCTCTACATGTTCACTATTTCACATTACTAAGCCTGCAAGACCTTGGTCTTTTTTTCACCAATGTATGTATTACAGGGGCAGGTTATGCTTTACTGTGGGTATTCCATTATTATTTGCAAGTGTGGTTGTTTTTAAATGGTTTATGGGCTAGGATGTGTTATTTGTATTTTTGTATACTCAAGCTTTCTGTAATTGTATTAATAGTAATTAACATTTTTTGTAGTAATTCATATGCAGTAACTTGTTATAGGAGTGCTTTCTTTCTTTTGTGGCTGTGTAAAATTGTTTGCACTCCTTGCTGCGGTGTGATCCCTATATGTAAAACCATTAGTTCATTTAACTTATTACTGGTGAACAGCATTAAAGTAGATGTTATATGCTAACCACATGGGAAAAATGAATCGCATGTGTACAAAATGTAAAGAATGGGTACAGTAGAAACAGAAAACTGAATCAGGTTTCAGGCATCATTTGTTTGAAAACCAAAATAACTTTCTTTTGACACCAGATAAATGTAGGAAGTACATGTGCTTAACAAAGCATGACATAATCCTATTCCCACTGGTGTTAATAATATGTATAATGGATGAATAGCAGTGTAATACAATAAAGAATGCTGTTTTCTTTAAAGGATGTCTGGGGCTGGTTCATGATATAACCTAAATAGTATACCTAAATGATAGTAACATAAATGATCATGGAAAAAGTGCTGAATATAAATGATGCACTATGCATCCCTGATCGGGCAGCACGGTCATGACTCTCAGATCATAGTCAATATATGCTGCATAGGCTTTGGTTTGATTTTTGGACACAGGGCTTTAATATGTCCTGATATAATGCTTTCAAATGTGGAAGGTACCGTGTGCCATACATTTCTAATATTTCCCCTAAGAACAACCGATCTTCTCTCTGTAAACATCTTGCTAAATATTGCAGCAATAGATCTAACCAATTGTTGGGTCTGTTATACTGACTCACTCAAGACTGTCTTAGCTTGTTCAACTATTTTATTTTGTCATCCACTGTTGCTTTGTTTGTCTTTTGTACATACACATACTGGACATGTGAACATTTGTGAATTGTCTACAACTCTTGATGGCAGGAATACTTTCAGAGCGTAACATTTCTGGGACTTAAAGCAAATAATCTAATGCTTAGACTGTTGCATGCGGGTATTTTCAATGAGTGAGATTTATTGGTAAGATTTTATATTCTTTGGTCTCATTTTGTTCTCTTTCCATAGTTTTACATATTACCATGCTATATGTCTGGTTTACTTCCTGTTATTTTTGTTTCGTTAAGACTTGTGTATTTTTCTCAGACACATCTGAGATATTCCTTATCAGTGTAACTATGATCTCAGTGTGACTTTCTATGCAACACATGTGTGTAATGTACTACTGGCTCTAGACCTTTTTGATTGGAAATGCTGCTTTGCGATGCATATTGAATGGTGTACACTTTTACTGGTTTCTCCACTTTTGTCCTTGTTGATACCAATAAAAACTATTGAAACTATATTTCTGTACAAGGTTACTCCTCCCAAAACGTATTTTTGAGTTTCAAGTATTGTTATAGCAGATTATAGAACCAGACACTTTTTATATCCGTTCAAACAGGGCAAAAGAAAAGCTTGACGTATGCTAAGATCATGTTTCAGGTTTAGGGTACTGCTGTCTACTATTGCACTTAATTATATACATATTCTTTTTTTGTTTATGGAATATAAAAGGTATGATGCAAATATATTTCCTCTAACATTAGCTACAGTATGTGTGGAAGTATAGTAAAATAAGTTTTTTTATGCAAAAAAGGAGTCTGCATGTATCTTTCATTGCCACCTTAGGCCCTCGGGCATCCAGAAACACAGGATACCCTAATATGCAGAGGAGCATAGTGTGTTTCAACAGGACAAGTTTGAATATTTCAGGCAGTTGACAAAGTAGCAACTACTGGACCTCAGGAGGGCTGAGACATTTTTAAACAAATTAAGTGATGCGATCCATACGTGTAAAGATGGAGGACGTGCATGGATGGAGGAATCTCCCCTGTTGGCACACCCAACAGCCACAACACCTGCAGCTGCCTGGATATTTAAACAGTGACTGCATCTGTTTGCCAGATCATGTTCCACCCGCCTCAATCGATTATTAAATCGGCCTTTTTCGAGCCAGATGGTGCCAAAATCTGAGCCATGTACAACCGCAAAAATTCCCAAAATCTGTAAAATCTACATAAAAACAGAATGCAATGATTTGCTAATCTCATAAACCCATATTTAATTCACAATAGAAGATATGAAACATATCAAATGTTTAAACTGAGAAAAAATAAGGCAATTTTGAAATTGATGGCAGCAACACGTCTCAAAAAAGTTGGGACAGGGCAACAAAAAGCTGGCAAAGGAAGTGGTACTGACAAGGAAGAGCTGGAAGAAAATGTTTCAACTAATTAGGTTAATTGGCAACAGGTCAGTAACATGAGGTATAAAAAGAGCATCTTAGAGAGTCAGAGTGTGTCAGAAGTAAAGATAGGCAGAGGTTCTCCAATCTGCGAAAAGCTGCATCAAAAAATTTCAGGATAATGTTCCTCAATGTAAAATTGCAAAGACTTTAAATATATCATCAAAAATATTCTGAGAATCTGGGGAAGTATATGTGCACAAGGGACAAGGCTGAAACACAATATTGGATGCCTCTGATCTTCGGGCCCTCAGACGGCACTGCATTAAAAACAGGCATCATTATGTGATGGACATCACTGCATGGGCTCCGGAATACTTCCAAAATCACTGTCTGCGAACAGTTCACTGTGCCATCAAAAAACGCAAGTTAAAGCTCTATCATGCGAAGAAGAAGCTGTAATTGAACATGATCCAGAAACGCTGCTGTCTTCTCTGGGCCAAAGATCATTTAAAATGGTCTGTGGCCAAGTGGAAAACTGTTCTGTGGTCAGACGAATCGAAATTTTACATTCTTTTTAGCAACCATGGGCACTGCATCCTCCGGACTAAAGATAAGAGGGACCTTCCGGCTTGTTATCAGCGCTCAGCTCATAAGCATGCATCTCTGATGTTATGGGGGTGCATTAGTGCATACGGAATGGGCAGCTTGCACATCTAGAAAGGCACCATCAATGCTGAAAGATATATCCAGGTTTTAGAGCAGCATATGCTCCCATCCAGGTGACGTCTTTTTCAGGGAAGGCTTTGAATATTTCAGCAGAACAATGCTAAACCACATACTGCATCTATGACAACAGCATGACTTCATAGTAGAAGAGTCCGGGTGCTTACCCGACCTGCCTGCAGTCCAGACCTTTCACCAATTGAAAATATTTGGAGCAAGAATGGGGCAACATTCCTCTCCCAAAACTCCAGCAACTGGTCTCCTCAGTTCCCGGATGTTTACAGAGTGTTGTTAATAGAAGAGAGGATGGTACACCGTGGTAAACATGGCCCCTGTCCCACCTTTTTTGAGACGTGTTGCTACCATCCATTTCAAAATCACCTTATTATTTTCTTAAAATGGTCCATATTCTCAGTTTAAGCATTTGATATGTTTTCTATTTTCTATGGTGAATAAAATATGAGTTTATGAGATTTACAAATCATTGCATTTTGTTTTTATGTAGATTTTACACAGCGTCCCAACTTTTTTGGAATTGAGGTTGTATGGCTAGCTTTAACCTAGGTGATGGGTCAATATAATCTTTTATAGTGAAACTTGCAGAATTATAATAATATTAAATGTACAGATTACTTCATTGCTATAGCCATGACTGGTTTACTAGGGTGTTTGGTGTATACTATATACAAAAGAAAGTAGACTTGCAGTGTGCAAAAACCTCAGTCTGTTATCCTCACACAAGCATAACCATATTAGCTCTGCTTTTCTAATACTAAATGCTTTTAAGTGCTTCCCTGTGGGACAATAATGAATGCTTCCAACAGTCCAAAGGTTTTCTTATCTCACTTGGGAAATCTCTGAGAAAGCTGATGTTGAGGCAGCAATCTGTGAATGGACATAAATCTTACTACTTCTTTTTCTCGTAGGACATCTGCATGTCTGTAGCCTAATTCACTGGTAAAGTGTATGATCACAAGGGGAAAGAAGGGAGTTCCACTCTAATATGGCAGTGTTGCAATGCAGTGTCAAGTTTCAGACGCTCACCTGAAAGATTGTACTTGTAGAGGCACTTTCTGGCTCTGTTCCCGCAGCCTGCACACGTCCTTGGAGGCTTTTCTCATTAATTTTTCAGCGCTCAGTCCTTGCTTTTGTTCCTCCTTTGATTGTTCAGCCTACAGACAAATAAAACCACAATCTGTCATTTACTTCTAAAGCACCACTTGCTAGGATGTATTACATAACTTCAGTTAGCGGGTTATTCTATTGGCAGCCAACTATTTTATAGGCAGGTCACATTTGAGCTACAGTGCAGGAAACCTAACATTGTGTAATACACACAAATACTGTATATTTTACTAATGCATTCACTTTATCCAGTTATGACAGATTATAGGTCTGGTTGAAAACAAAAGCAAGAATCTTGTATTCTCAGACCCTTGTCCTCTTAAAGACTGATCACTGCTACTCGTCCTCCTTTTGCAGGGTGACTGGTTCTGTATCCGGCCCTTCTCTAGTTTTCTGCAGGCAGCCTGTAGTGGGTAAGTCTACTACATCCCTTCCACAGCTCTGCTCTCTGCACAGGCTATGTACAGCACAATGATGATGTCACTGCTACATTTACAAAGCAATACCTATGCTTGCAAAGGCATTTGGTGTTCACAAATCGGATGTCTATCCTTTGCGGCTTTTGAAGAATATACTTGAATGAAAATGTTTATGAAAAGCTGAGCACTTGGGGTAAGTAGGACTTTTAAGAGAGAACAGGCTATATATAAAAAACTAATTTTATGGAACACATCTAAAAATAACACCACTCAGTAAAAAAAAAAACATGCATCCCCTTTAGAATAATAATAATAATAATAATCTTGATGATTGTCAAAAGGCAGGAGCCTCAAATGATTGATATATCCTGAAGTCACATTTTGTTTAAATGCCGTGCCGATGCACAAAACACCATGAGAGCAATGTATAGTCATAACGTGATACAGGTTTTAGTTGCAGGTGGCTTGGCAACAGGAATTTGAATATAATTTTCTGCATATCACAGTCATATCCACTACACCACAAGGGTCTATAACCTGTAGAAATCAGATATTGTGCATTTACATATCCATGTGTCATAGGTAACCCATATAAAGCTAGTACATCAACATTAAAAGCATCTGTCATTGAGCAAAAGCCCCGGGCATCCATCGATATAATAGCTATGGTACATGATGACATAAATGCACAGTGTATCAATTTGTATCACAGGTGTTGAGTGAGATGATCCCATGAACTATAGCAGAAATCTCCTCACATATAGACGTTCCATCTTGCATCTGATCAAACTGTTATTTTCATTGTAAAGTTCCACATCTTTGTAAGCTTGAACCGCAGCAACGGGTACTGCTGACATACACAGTGTATCAATTTGTATCACAGCTTAGTAACTGAGACGATCACACATGGACATCTCCTGATTCACATATACCTGCTCCAATATACTGATTGCAATCTCGTACCTGGTCAAACTGATATATATTCATTGTGTAGTTCTAAGCTGGGTCAACCGCAGCTGTGGATATTGCTACAATCGCTTTAAAAAGACCTATGCTGTCCTACATAGATAGATAGATATATATATATTTCAATAAATATAAAATACACACATTACACATACACTTTTAAAAACAATTCGTCGGTCAGGAAATTTGCTAAATGACATTCCCTGTAATGGAGTCACTGTTCATAGCAAGGCATTATTACCTTCTTTTCTGCTAGTTTTAGCAGCTTCTGGAAGCGTTCATCCTCCAGGACATATGGTGGTAGTTCAGTCTCCCCAATGGCTTTCATCTCCTCTAATCTTTGCTTTAGGTCTCTTAGGGACTGTAGCTCATCATTAAGTCGGCTCTGTCTAGTCCTTGATGCTTGCAGATCCAGCTCCAAGTCTAGAGAAGTCCTTTCGCGACATTCATGCATTGCTCTTCGTGTCATTGCCTGACATACAGGCTAATAATAATAATAATAATAATAATAGGCATAAATGTACAGTTAAAGAAAATAGTGAAAATAAAATAATGTTTCTATTCCATGTGATTTGATGGATCTAACCAGGTAATTTCTGAGCCTAACAAGATATATTTCTGAGTAACTAAGCACATTATTTGTATGAGTGACTGTTATAAAAGCTGAAGGTGAATTGTGCCACGTTCCCCATACGTAAAGTAAGTTATCAGCACATATTCTGCTTTTGTACACTGTACCAATCCCTTTAAAAGAATAACAGAGGTAAAAAGTAAAATCCACCTATTGTTAATGGTAAACCTGGAAATATTGAATAATAGATAAGGTTTTCCTAACAAAGAATAATTATTGTTTCACAAAGATCTTATGGTGCGGTATTTATCGGATACCAAAATAAATGTATTATTAAATATTCCTTAGCAGCACTACAAAAAGTGAACATAGCGTATATCACCTTTCTGTTTCACCTAAATATGAGAAAATCCTCACTGTGATGTATAAATCTATTCTTGACTCGGGTCCCTCTCCAATTATCAGGTACCAGGAGTAAAGGGACTGAGATTTGTGTTCAGGTACTGGGCGCTTTTTACTTTAATGCACAGAATGCATTAAAGTAAAAAAACTCTCAGCCTTTAATGCTACTTTTACCTTCCCAATCAAATCATCAGAGGACATTTAGAGCAGTGGTTCCTCACAGTGTGGATTTAAAGGTAAATAAAGCATGACCAACGTGGTGGCTCCAAAGAAATGACTCATTTTGGGTGGAGCCTTAATTGATGAAAAGGAAGGCCGGGGATGCTGAAATATGTGCAACGCCTTTACATACATTTTATACACTCTTACAAATGATGCACACTGGCTTAAAATAAGCCTTAAGCTGTCATTACACCATCACCTTGCATTTAGATTACATTTATTATTTGCAATTCACAATTAATCATACACTATTATTTTACATCAGTAGATATTCCAGGAACAATTATTTTATAGCTGTCATCTACTTCTATATTTTGTGCTTGTTACATACCCTTTTTACTCTCAGACTGCGCCGTTCTGTTGCATTCCTTACAAAAGGAGACTTCTTAGCAAGAGTTGAGCTGTCACTGTCACTTCGATTTAACTGCAAGAAATACGTAAAAGGAAGATGATAAAAAAAAGTGCATTCAAAGTCCATCTAAAGCATCTTGTTTTTCCTCTCCGAGTGATAAACATTTTCAAAGCAAGATGACACATTAAAGCATATCAAAACCCAAAAACGAAAATATATTGAACACTTGGGTGTAGGGGCTGCATTAGTTTTCTTCTTTCAGACTTTCTTTCCTTTAATTTCACCTCCCGATGTGACCTACAAATAAAGCCGGGCAAACAAGACATATTTTCTTCGTTCAGTCCACAGGTTGAAATGAAGAAAATATATATCAGATTCCTCCATTAATGCTGATGAGCACTGATCGAGGAATCCCCTGCTGTCTTCATTGCAGAGCGATGTGATTCCAAGGGGTATTTATATTTATTGTTGGTATTTACATAGCACTGACAACTTGAGCAGCCCTTTACATAGTGCACATTCACATCGTTCCCTGCCCTCAAGGAGCTTACAATCTAACGTCCTTATCTCACATGCATACATACGGGGCCAATTTAGACAGGAGCCAATTAACCTAACGGCATGTTTTTGGAGTGTGGGAGGAAACCGGAGTACCCGGGAGGAAACCCACGCAAGCATAGGGAGAACATGCAAAGTCCTTGCAGTTAGTGACCTGGCCGGTATTTGAACCAGGGACCCCCAGTGCTGCACAGCACAAGCACTAACCACTACACCACTGTGCTGCTTATTCAGGAAAACACACAGCCCAGTCTTACTGGTATGGGCAATGTACCTCACATATATGGCTTTATAATTTTACCATAGTTCCACTTTAATCACGCAATCTGTAAATACCATTAGGCACACTTGTAGCCAAGGGTGTAAATAAGTGGGCAATTTATGTGACAACTGCCCACCTCCCCAAAAAATGCAAAACGTCAGCAGCACATCTTTTCCATAATGCATCGCTTTTATCCAATGCTTTCTTATACTCTGCATTTCCCTGGACAACTGCAATTTTGGTAAATCAGTTTTAATTATATTCAGCAGCACATGCCCACCCCGTCTTCTCTGCCCTCTGGGCTGCTGCCCCTTCTGCTCATGGCTAATACACTGTACAGTCCTATATTCCATCACACTCCAGATATAAATTCTACAATTTTGTATTAGAATTGTAGAAGGAATTATTGAAGCAAAACAAAAGCAAATGCATCCAGAAAGCACCATATTATTTTTTGCCCATTGAAAATTCACTTCCAGGTGAGAAGGGTTAACATTGCATTTTATTTCAAGCAAAGGGTGTGTCTTCATTCAAGTGGAGATAATGTCGTTTTTGGCAAGAATTCAACGTTTAATGCAAGACTTAAAGACACTAGGGTCAGCTTACACAAGAATAGAGCAAGTGAGGATTTCTGAGCGATGTCTCTGCTTAGGACTGGATGAAAGGCCAAGATGCTGATCCCATTCTTTAAAATGGCCTCAGATTATCTGGTGATATTTGATATCGGAAGCATAAATAATGGAGATGCCAGATTTAGCCAGGCAAATGATATAGAATATACAGGATGCGCAGTGACCTCTAGTCACCTCCAAAATGTGCCAAGTTTAAATGAACAGGATATAATTCTATTCTCCACTTATCTGATGGTCAAGTTCCACGAACACAGAACATGGTACAATTAGGTTCACAAATGTTCTTGTAACCCTTTTAGTATTTTAATATTGTTACATAGATCCTGATTATTTGTATAGAAACTTGCTATTTCTGTCTCACGATGTGTGCTGCAATGTATTATGGTTGTTAGAGTTGACACAAAAATATTTGGAGTTTCTCAGTACTTAAGGGTCCTGTCAGATGACAGATTTGTACAATCCATCTGGCTAGTTAAAAGAAAAAACAAACTTTTCAGTAGCAGTCTACTAGTTGGTTCTCTGTGGCTCTGTCATATAGAAATGAATAAGGGATTGTGATGTGACACCATACACCTGGACAGCCAACACGGTGCCAATGTACAATTATCATGGGGATGTTTTCCACCCGCCATAAGAAAAAGACGGTACATTTATGAAATGTTGTCTAATATATCAAATATATTACGAAGGATATCTCCACTATAAAAGTTAGTGCTGGGCAGGGATATGGAGATTTGCTACACAGCATCTGATGCATGCTTCTGTGTCAGAGTATTCCTTCTCTAGTGAAAATGCAGGTCATCAGACCTGACAATATTATACATCCTCCCCACAGTGACAAAAGTGAAAAGAATCTACAAGAACAGGAGCATAGCTCTAAATCAGACATGTGCTGGTTTCACTAGCAGTTTGGGTCCACGATGGGGTTTGCTAACCAGATTTGCTTTTCAAAGTTTAAAGTGTAGCTCCACTTTTGCAGTGAAATTTGGAAAAATCCCACTTTATCGCCACTATATCAAAAAATATGTTTTTTTTTAAATAAAGTATTTCTTGCCTTTTAGGTGTTTCTGTTTAGCTGGCCTTTGCAAACTTCTCTTTTATTAAACTAGTGACAGGAAACGCTTTCTGTCCCCATGGAAAAACCAGGGACAGGCCGGGCTTCCCCTCATTAACATACAATGCTTCTACATCTTTAACCCTTTGTTAGGACAGACTGTGTTGAAATCTAGTTTACAGCTGATAATGTTATCTGCCAGCACAGTACAGACCAGGTTAGTTATAGTAACATTAACCTGCACAGCCCCCCTTGCATTCCAGAGCAAAACTCAGTACAGAGAATAACAACTTTTCTTGTATTGTAGAAGCAGCAAAAAAAGTGACACTAAACTCAGGAGTTAAGAGAACTGTAGCCAAAACTTTTTTGTCCGTAGTTCTTTTTTGGGTCACAGAGAACTAACGTCCTCCTGTGACCAAAAACTGAGCATATAGCAGGAACTTACAGTCACCACTATCTGTTGGGAGAAGATCGTGAATTGAGCAATCAGCGGCATGTGATCACTTAGTTCTCGATCTATAGAGCTGACGTGTGACCGCTGCAATGTCACATGTCAGTTCTAACTATTGGGATGAGTGTATCTCACTCATCTCATAATCCTCCTTTAAAGAAGAATTCCAGGAAAACATTTTCTTAACCCTTCCAGTGGGGCTACCTCCGCACTGCAAGGGTTAAGTGCTCGTTTTTGCCTAGGTTAAAAAATAACAAAGTTCTACTCACCCGAAGCACCGAGGTTACCAGCTGTCATAGAACTCCCACCAGCCTCTCTCCTCCTCTGCTGCAGCATTGTCATCTTCCTCAGCGTCCTCATGTCTATTTACACAGTGATTATTTACAGGACCTTAGAATGCTGCACGGGAGGGGGAGAGAGGGTGGAAGGACCAGTCTAAGAACAAGCTGGCTCGAAGCATCGAGTGAATGTAACTTTTTTTTTTTTTTAACCTAGACATAAACAAGCAGTTCACCCTTGCAGTGCGGGGGTAGCCCTACTGCAAGGGTTAGTAAAAACAATAATTCGTCTTTAAATCTTAAAAATACATTCAAGTACCTTAACTATTAACAAATGGACCTTATTTGTGTATCACTCGGTTGTAGATCCTCAAATGATTTCTGAATTGCTGCTGACACTGGCCTTCCTTCTGGAAGGTGGCTACTTTTGTTCCCCATGGTCCCCGGTATGTGTTGTAAAGTAGCTACTGCTCCAAGTTCACTCCTGTGATACAGTTGTAGACTATAACTTCATTACACATTAGTATGAGATTGTAGTATATCACAAGAGTGAGCTTGGAGCAGTGGGACCATAGGTAACAAAAGTAGCCACCCTCCAGAAGGAAGGACAGTGTCAGCATCAATTCAGAGATGATTTGAGGATCTATAGCTGAGTGATGCACAAGTAATAGTTGGGGTACTTGAATGCATTTTAAGATTTAATTCCTGAGTTTAGTGTCACTTTAAGTTATGCTATGTGAATAGAAACATGCAACAAATGTAAAGTAGTGGAAGTACACTTTAAGCTGAAAGACTCAAACATACTGGCAAGAAGAAGTTATCATACAATTCTATCAGTCCAACAAAACAACAGACCATATCCCAATCATGCTGGCTGTACACGTTTGCTTTGCCAAACAGAAGGATCTGAGTTTAGACAGAGCCACTGAGTGGCATGTTTTGTCTGCTTGTGGCGTGACTTTGAGGCTGTGGATATTATACAACATTTTTCTTTTTTGCAGTTTCGGATATAGGACAGTGGGGAAGAGGGTGTGTGGTGGTAAACTTGGTTTATTTAGTGCACTGTATTCATCTGAATTACACAACTGAAAGATAGCCTTCTACTAAACATCCAGCCTAGAAAATGTATGTTCCCCAACATCTCCGAACAAGCAAAACAGTAGCTAGATATATTTTTTAATGATGTCACAAAGGTAGCAAAATCCATAGGACTGTAATTGTTTAAGTTTACTGACATTGTGTAAATTGCATTTGTGTACACCGGTATACGCATATACACAAACACGCATCTTTCTGTGTAGATGCACTTCTGTATAGTAAGACCACTTACCCTACAAATGTACTGGTTCTTCTCTCCTGGGGAGAACGTCTGTGACCGTACGATCATGCTGTTTCTAACAAATGGTCGCTGTCTTCCACTAAGACTACTTCTGTCCTTTGGCCGCACTGAAATATTTTCATGAACTGTTTCTTCCGTATTTGTCTCTTTGTCGACCTTTAGTTCAGGAACAAACATGAAAGTTAACATGTCAATGTAAAGTTATTTGAGACAACATTACAAGTTTGACTGTCCCAGTGCCTTCCAGTACCCAGCACAGTATTTGACAGCCCACACCCACCAGAAGGTACATTTCCGATGGAGTAGATTTTAATGGTTTGTTGAAGAGATTTGTATAATCTCTATTAGCATCAGAGATTGAGTGACTTTCCACTAGAAATGGTGCTAAAGTAAAAAGCATTAGGTAATGGGGGGCATTTTCTACAGGATAATCTATGTGTGTGTTAGTTACCCCATAATGACTGACATATATATGCTAATTATGATGACATTTACCAGTGTTGGCAGTTCAGCAGCAGGAAGTGGAGTAGAGGTAGGATCCCAGCTGTTTGTTTCATCATACGTTTCGGTCTGTGGCTCTTCTGGGTCAGTAGGTAATTGCAATGAGGAAGAGTAATACTCATCCATATGTTCTGTGGGCCCAGTTTCATCAAGAGCCTCTTCTCCCTGTAGTTCAATCCTAAGGCCAAGAGGAGATTACAGAATTAAGCAGAATTGTTAATTTTCTTCCATTTTCACACTGATTTACTGAATGAATATACAGTATACTGTATGCAAGAGTGTTTGTGAGCTGATCAGAAAATTAATTATATTGATTCAGCAAGCTGTAACTGTAAAACAAAATGAGATTGCACCAATCAGATTGCAGGTTGCTGGTATCCGATTAACTAGCAGATTATCTCATATATAATTCATATATTATATATACATACATATATATATATATATATACATACATACATACATACATACACACACACACACACTGAGTGGCCAGATTATTATGACCACCTGACGTTTTTAGGCAAATTAGCTATAATTTCGCGCTGAAG